TGACTGATGGTGCAATACCCAAGTGTGAACGTCCAATGGTAGGGAAAACATTTGTTAATCAACATGGTACCTTAGAGTCATGTAAAATCTGTGCCATTGGCCAAAACATTGTCGCCAATTGCTCAACCAAATCGGATACCATATGTGGTGGGTGCGAACCAGGATTTTATTTGAATGACAAGTCAAATACTTGTGAAGAATGCTTCTGGTGTTGTAACCATAACGATAGAAAGAGTTTTATGGACTGTATCAAAGAGGTAATGATGTTGAAAGAGTCTTTTAGTGGGCTTGGACTTCAGCTGCTTTTTTCGTCCTTTGCTCTAAACAGTCAATTGCAAACTACAAAACAAGAAAGCTCTCTGGTGGAATATGTCAAACTTGATGCTTTCACAGCCTCTATAATAGGTCTATGTGTTGGCCTGACTGTGTATCACATCTCTAAACGACAAGGGCAAACTTTGAAAGGTAAAGGTCGATGCCCATTTTTAAATAATCTTGAAAAAGGACACAGTTTATCATTGGAAAAGAAGGACCCTTCTGAAAGTACAGAAACCACTCAATCCGCACATTCAGGCAAGTTAAATAACTAATTATTTTCCCTTTGTATATATTGTTATATATCTCAAGTACTTGCGATCAGCACTCGTATCTCAAAATTATTGTTACAAGCGTTTTTGATAGTAGCTAGCCCACCTTTTGTCGCTAATTTTTTGTTTTGTATCTTATTAACTTATTTGCTTTTGTTTTAGGCAGAGCACCTCATAAGTATATGAAGTCTGGTGATCAAATGTGCATATAAAAAAGCTACCTTCAAGTTGCACATGTGCAGATTTTTATAACTAATTATTATTTATCATTATTTTTGGATCTATTTCTTAGGTATTAAGAAAGTGGAGTGGGAGCATCCAAACCAATATGGCCCAGGTCATGTGGTGTTTGAAAAGACAGGGGTTGAGGCTGTTATCCTTGACAGTAATAAGTCTACCCTTCAACAAGTGCCAAGCGATTTGGTGTTACATGCCACATCAGATAAGCTGAATTTACCAGGATTACTTAGGGATGGTGAATTTCCACTAAGTCCAGCATTTTATCTTGTCACAAGGAGCAAGTTAACAGGACCCCTTGAGCTTCAGATACCTCATGGTGCAAACATGGTGCTATCTTGTAATAAGTGGAAAATCATTTTGAAGGAGTTGAAAAACAATGAATGGGTTGTTGTAAGCTATGTGAAGGGTAGTGGAATAAAAGAATTCTTCCCCAAAAGCAACCATGTTAGTTTTGAGACAGACCATTTTACAACATTTGCAGTGGTTGGACACTGTGAAGAACAGTCCTTACCAGTACTCAAAAGAATGAAGGTCATGGCATTTTGTAATGACACCAGAGTTGGAGAAGACCTTGTTGTGAGGCTGTATTGCTTTGATGATTGTGAGTGGTCATTTGAGGTAAGCTCTTGGGAATAACTAATATAGTTTAAAGATCCTCACCTAATATTAAGCAATAAATAGATGATGATTCAATTTATTCTATTTCAATCTACAAAAAGATCTCTTTGGGTCATAAAATTTCCTTCTATTAGGAGTAAAAATCTTGATATAATCAGAGGCTAGGTATTTTAATTTATGTGACATGTTACCAAGTTCTCAGAAGCTTTTTGCACATAACTGAAGTCTAGTTAGAATCTATCATGTAACTGCAGTTATTTATAATTTTGATGTTAAATTTGTGCTGGTCTAGTTCATCAAACATCCTACCTCCAGTCATGGTTAGTTATTTTATAACAGTGTGATCTATTTCTGTGTTAATAAATTTGATAAAACTTGTTTGACTTGACTCCACAGAATCTTTTGAGGGAGGAGAAGAAGAAAGGAGGAAAGTTTATGTCATCAGTGGAATCTCTTGATTTTTCTCTTAGTCACAGAGAAGATGTGGAAATTGTTGTAAAGGATGTTGATGGCTGGAAGCTAAATAATGCTTGCCCAATGGTATTTTGCAGACTCTGTTTGAGTACTATGCAATAACAGTGCAAGTTATTTAGAAAAGAGGAAAAATTTAAAGGATGATTCAAAGATCTTAATTTTTTACACTTAGTAATTGAATTTTCTCAGATCCCTGAAAGTGTTGGTATCTCTGGGTGATTTTGAAAATATTTAAATTTTTTTCTGCTTTATCTAGAAAATGAGCTATGCATCAGTGAGGAACTCTTTCAGTACAACTCCCAGATGCAATCTGGTATTTAGCCCTGCAACCAGTGAAAAGAAAAACGGCTTTTTTTCCACCATTGTTTTGACTCAGGCATCCTCTCAAACTGTAGTGTATGCAATCACTGCTATTAAGAAGGTAGGTGACTGTACATTTTAGGTGGTACATTCCGTGGCACAAAATGATTATCAATTTCAAGATGTGAATTTGCAGGTGACTCAGTGGTCTCATTTTAGTATATTTAAATTTGGATCTGGTCATTTTTTTAAAAGTTTTTTCCTTGCCAGAGTCATATTTGGTGTTTAGCACCAGAAACTAATAATTTAAACTTAAAGGTATAGATGCATTGATTAAAATTGTCAAAGTAAATCCACAACACCAAAGAGAGTTTACCAGCAGTGTAATATTAGTATCAGTGGGCTTTCCTGATCTTTTGGATCAAGAGATATACCAACTTAGAATAAAGCTTTAAATATTTGTTTATTTTATTGTAGGATCCAATCCGTTATGAAAACCAGAGCATGTTTCCAAATGCTGTGAATGGTGACTTCTTTGTACTTACTGAGGGGTAAAATAGATGAAAGTCAGTTAGGCTTTATGTAATGTTTTAAAAATGAGCAGCAGTGTTTTATTGGGTTTAAAAACACAAGGCAGAGCCTAATGTTTTTAGAGCCGATAAAATACGTGCTGCAAGTTTTTTTAACAGCTTCAAAACCCATGCCTCTCAAGAGATTTAGATAAACGTGACGTGATGTATTAAGGGTTAATTACATTTAGAAAGGGAAAGTGCCCCATGTTCAGCTGCTGTTAAAGGTTCAGAGAGTTTTTATTTGAAATGCCACCCAAAACCAAAAAGTGCTGAGGAAGGGAGCGAGTTCTTGGATAGTTCTATTCCAAAATCTACATGGTATGCCACAAAGTGGCTTAAGAAAATATTTGGCAAGTGGCAAAGTTCAAGAAGAAATAAGGACGCCAACTTTGAGGAAAGAAGATTCAAAGTCAAAGTGGACAATGTTCACAGCTTTATATAAAGATCACTGGTGACCTTTATATAAAGATAGTTTCAATTCAGAATAAGCAATAATTGGAATTGCTTGCACATTCAGCCCTGCACTCCTCTGGGACTGAAATGAAAGCCACCACCAGACTTTTCAGAATGGTCATAGATTACCAGGTATCAAGGGTCATACACAAGATGTTTTAGTAATGTTTTGATAGGCTGTTGGCCTCATGAGTTTTAATAAAAGTATCAATAATTAGCATATACGGAAACTAAAACAGTAGATAGTGTTGAAGGGGCATGCTGATTGGTGACTCAAAGTGCACAAATCCATCGTTATTCACCTCCGAGCAATATGCTCAGGATTTGTCCCTGAAAATATCGTAATTGTTGCAGGAATAAATAAGTTAAAACAATTTATTGTTATATGTTCACAGTGTTTTAGTATACACTAAAACAACTATTCATCTCAGTCAGTGGCTTGCAGTGGATACATGTATTCGCATTATTGTTTTGTGGCTCAGTAAATATCTACCACTAACCACCTCCACTTTGGTAAATAGTTGTTGAACATTCTTTTTGAATTGAAAACTACTTAGAGTGCAGAGAGTTATGTGCCTGAGGAGAATTAATGTTTCCCTCCAAGTAATCCACTTAAGAGTAAAAATTACTTTCAGAGAATTTGTTCCATAGAGAAAAGATAACAATATTAGTTTAACTGATGCAGAAAGTCTTTATATGTTGGCCATGTTGCTACTTTCTTCCTTTTTCCAGAAGGAAATCAAGTCACAAATATAGCAGATATCACTGTTGCAACAGTAGAAAGGGAAAAGAGCAAGACTTCACTGACTGTATTGTTCAGTTAAAAAGCTTCATATTAAACCTGATGGTCTTCAGAAATTATGGGTTTCAAAACTTGAACTTTAGCCATCATGAACTAGATGTATTACACTGAGTGTCATATTGTCTCTATTTGACCGTGCAACTAGTTTAAACTAAGAAATTAGATGAAAGAGTGTTTTTGAAAAGTGAACATGATTAGTTTTTACACAGAAAATTGAGTGTGAGACTCTTAGACTTTTAGATCTGAAACTCAACTCCTACTAAGTATATTTAAGTAGTAGTAGTTTGCCATCAAAAGTGTAAAGGGTATGGCCTATTAGGTTCTGAACATAGGATATTGTACGTTATCTATCTAAAGCTAATGATTGTATAGATTAAGTGGGAGTGATCTCTTGTATGAGTAATGTTTGATAACCACAAAAGCAAGTGTGATAAAGTATTGTGCTAAGTGGTGAAACGAACAATGAAGAGTCCATTCATTCACACTATAAAGTAATTTTAGGTTGTTATGTTTATTCTGATCCATTCTCAAGAACGGAGTTCTTGTTTGGCGAGCATGACGTAATTAACCATAACTGAAATTACATCAATATGGTTACATTCACATTTACTTATTTACTCTCTGTCTTCCATGTAACTGAAAACGTTTCAACACGAGACGTTTAGTAGCCTCTTGGTTTTCTCGTTTTTGCTTCAAAATACCTATGAAAATGTCTAGAATATTCCCTTTTCTGGGTATTATCATGAGCAATCCATCAATGCCCTCTAATGAGCGAGAAAAACTTCTCAGAAATGCCTTATCATTAGCAGTCAAGATGTTGCATTGGTTGATAGGCTCAGGATTTTGAAAGAGGTTCCCAATAATGACGCAAAATCAGTAATCTCTGAAGCCCAGGACTATGATTATCTTCATTAAACTCCTGACATCCACCTATTATTCCTATTCTACCTTGCTGTCCTTTGTGAGAAGAATTCACAGCCGCCCATGTACGCAACCATCACTGCCATATTAATAGAAAGCTAGACTCTTATTTGGTGATGCTTAAACCACGTCAATAACAAACCACGTTCGAGCGCGCAAACTAAGTAGCGTACTCTTGAGCTTCAGATTTCAACGCTCTGTGTTTCCGATTTATTAACGACTATGGCGTTACTTGACCCAAAATCACATTCTTATAATGTGCTAGTAGTCGGAGATGGTAACTTTTCATCCACAGTTTGTTTGGCGTCAGCGTTATCAAAGACGTGTGAAAATCGTTGGGACATCGTTTGAGTCGCGCGCAGCCTTGGTGACTAACGACTTCGCTGTGGAAAGCATCGAGAAACTGTCCTCTTTTGAAAGCGTTGAGATCATGCACGAGGTAGATGCAGTAGATCTTCGTCAAAAATTTGGCTCTAGAACGTTTGATCGGGTGATCTTTAATTTTCCACTCACTGGCGGCAAATCAAACATTGCCAAATCGAGAGATCTGGTGAGCGGTTCTCTGCAAGCGCCGCGCACCACGTGGAACAGTTCAAAGGCGATATCTGTGTAAGCCTCTGTCAGTGTCAGGGAGGAACGCCCTTAGACAATCCAAGAAGGGAGCTTGGAAACTCTTGGCAGGTTGTTTACCGAGCTGCGAGAGCTGGTTGGTATTTGTTTGTTTGTCTTTTTTTTTAAATGATGAGTTCGATCGGCTTTTAAGAAGCTCTGTCACTTGGAGATTATTTGGTATTGATGAGCTGGTTAGCTGATCGTTTTCTCACCAGATTCTCCTTACTTACCGCAGGAGAGTGCTATTTCTTAGCGATAAATCAACGCACTGTGAAGGTTAAGATGCGAACGGCCGGTGACTTAAATTCTGGAGAATTTTCCTTAGCGCCTGCTGTCATCACGAAACCAATCAATTTGACCTGCCCCATCAAAATACCTTCTATGATGTCAACCTCGGAATGATTTCCTTAAAATCCAATACTGTTTTAAAACAAAGCCCAGGTTCCAAAGTCATTATATTGTTTTCGCCGTTTTTCTTTATTCAAGAACTATGTGTATGATGAAGTATAGAGCTTTACGGAAATCATCCCTGAACCCTCACAGAAGGTTCTTCTGTCCATGTAATGTGGGATGGCATTTTTTGATGTGGTTGTCAAGATGAAGTGACGCCGTACCCTTTAAGTGGAATGGTGTGAGGACAGTAAGTTATGTTTTGATAACTGGTATTGAAGTCATAATATCAACCAAATCACTTATGGGCTCAACCTCTTTAAAGTAATTTTCAGTTATCTGTAACAGTTTGCTTGTGCCCAGTGTCCCATGTGAGTGTGCGAGACATTAAATTCAATTTGGTTGCCCAAAAATACCATGCAAGAACTGTCACTCCTGGAAACGGCTTGAGCTAAGACCTTTCAATCCTGTGTCAGTGACTCATGGGTAAGTCCTCCAAGCCATTTTGCAAATTTTTTAAACTTATAATCTACAGTATAGGAATTAAAATTGTCCTGACACATGTTATTCAGATTCAAGAATAGTTTTGATTCAGACACAAGTAAGAACCATTTATTATAAATTGTTGAGTTCAGTAGTTTCAAAAATTCTTATCCTTAAAACAAGGTCGGATGCAAAACCTCTAGTTGTAGATGAAATTACTTTCATGAGTGACTAAATTCATTTTTATGTAAAAGGCTTCTTATTCACCCTTGTTCTAATGGCATATGAAAATTTTGGTCAATAATGGAATTTGTGTAATTAACATTACACAGCTATGCAGGGCGTGAAATTGCGCCTAATACAGGCGCCAATGCGACTAAAGTTTTTACTTTGGTAACCAAATCCTGAAAATTAGTCGCCAAATTGACGACTAGAATGTTTCATCATAACCTTACCTAGAGATATAGTAAATTAAAAAGATTTGCAAAGATAAATCCGCGACAAACTTCCTCATTAAATTTGTTTCTAAAACGCAGCACATGCATCAAGATCGATCACCTATCCTAGTGTCCACTTTGTAGCACGTTAAAGATCTTTTCCCTAACTTAATTTCTAGAACAATGACAGCGTAAAAAAAAAGGGTTTGTTTGTCTTTGTCTAACCCTAAGCGACCAACTTCTTTTGAATTGGCTACCACTTTGAAGAATTTAGGAGCCAAGAGGCTATCAGAAAAAAAAAATTAATTTCACGCCCTGCTATGTATGCTTTTTCTAAGGAACTGATAGTGTTTGTCTACGATTCAGCTAATTTCCATATGGAAGACATATAGGGTAACTACCACTCATCTTTTTGGTGTTTGACTAAGTCATACCAAATGGTACTTCTTTTGTTGCTGTGATGTTTATTTCTTTGGTCTTTTGTTTCAAGCTGTAGTTCTGATAAAAATCTGTGTGCATTGTGTTTACATTAACTTGTCAGTTGTGCACTAAGGGTCAGTGTGAGACTTTTGATTCTTTGCCATCTTAATCTCTGGCCTGTCAAGGGAAATAGGGTAGTGGTTGTAGTTCTTCATAGTTGTGGTCTAAGGATATGACCATAATCAACAGCAGTTGAATTTTTGTGTGAGGTGCATGTGTCATATTTTTCATTCTACAAGAGTCACATGTGCTTTATGCTTCCTCTTTCTTTTTCATTCAAAAAAGGCTATATAATACTGTAAAAGAATCATGTTGTATAAAAAATAATTTCTAATATTGGCAACACAAGTTACCTTTGATTGGTACCCACAATCCTTTTAATTATTATAACTAGTGATTTTGTAAAATTTGTATTCGTTACTGATATTTTAGGTGGATGGGTTGTCATTGGGAAAAGAGTTTATTCCATTCAGTCTCTTTCCTCCAACTTACATTCATGGTATAAGTTTCTGGATTGCTGAGCAAATGGCAGAACAGCAGTTCTTTCAGGATATTTTTGAAACCACTCAAGGATGCATTTGGGGTGTTTCGTTCCTTGAACGCTATTATGATACAAAACTGGATAAAGTGAGTTACAATACCATATGGTGTATAGCTCATGTCACCAACCATTGAGTCACATCCAGAGGGTACAAATGCAAAATTTACTGAAAAGAAAGCTCTTAAATTGTGAGTTTCTACTTTAATAGTGACTTGACTAAAATGTGCAATGTATGTGCAACTCACATCTGTGCTTCTATGTAACAGCATAAAGGAAACAATTACCCCCTGAATGTTATTATACGATGTATGTTATGTTTGTAGTGGGCTGGCAGCATTAGGATCCCTAAGCAAAGAAGTGCACAGTGTTGCATTCCAAGTAGAAACAATCAAACAAACTTTGATGAGCCACTGTTATGTTTTATTTAATCCTGTTACTATTTGTCAATGTTGCACAATATATGCTTATGTCACATTCATTGTATCAAAAAACCAAATCAAGAAATATACAACTTGTTTTAATCATGTGTTAAAGGAGTAGAGGGACTAGGTGAATGACTGTTTAAAGTAAGTTTTACCAAAAAAAAACAAACAAAAACAACTATCACAGGGAGAAGCACTCAAATATTAGGATAGTTAGTAGAGTTTATTTTATCAGCTAATATGAAAAGACAGTTCTATGGAAAGCCTCATTTGCAAAGACCACTATGGAAAGGCAATTCTCAGTAGGAAGCTCTGTAAGTTGATTATCAGAAATTAAGGCACTAGTGTAAGATGAAGTGGACAGGCAAACATTCAATACCTACAAAGTTCTCTTGTTTGATTAATTTTCAAATACTTATTTGTCCTGATGTCCCCTCCCTCCAATTATTGTAAAATTCTACGATGATAGTAAGGCTCAGATTAACAGGTCTTAAATCCATGGAAAAATTGATTTAAGTCTTGCATGCGTAGTCATCAGCTCTTTTAACACATGGTAATAAACAACAGATATCTCAATACATAATTTGTACTGCTCAGTGAGTAAAAGTTTGTTGACTATTTAGAAAACTTTCCTGGGTGCAGCTGTACTTTCCTTTCATAGTATATAGGGCCCAGTTATTCAATGGGCAGATAACGCTATCCAACTGAAAAATTGCTATCTAAAGGATGAATGTGAAATAAGGATATAGTGCTATCCACAGAATAGCGATTTATCCAGTGGATGGCATTATACACCCTTTGAACAACTGGTGCCAGTGGTTCTTGTCTAATGTTTTTCAATAGAAGTGTCCTACAACACTTTACCCCTACAGCACTTTACAAGGGTCATGCGATACAATCCAATGCTTACTACAATGTTATCAAATTTAAGATTACTACTGGTGACTCATATTTTTTTATAACTTGTCGCTCCCAATTACAATACAATACATACACTAATGTTGAACAAGATACTGACTTCTTCAATATATCTTCTACATGTGATAATACAAGATAAACCACGATATATTTGTTTAGATCTCACGAACCCTTTCAATCCAAGGAGTGACCAAAGAGGAATTTTGTTTCACAGTAGGAAAATAGTGTTTTGCAAAAAGGTGATGAAAAGGAAAGTAAAATAACAACCAAATGATATTGTTTATCCTAACAAAATAAATAGTTGAAGTTATGAAAACTGTATGGCAGACAGCCAGGGGAACTGATATTTGATCTTGGGATTGAAAGGGTTGTTAATGCAAGTTACACATCAGTAGTACTATTGATGTGTAATTTGCATGTCATTGTTTGCAGGGAACTATGTCATCATGTTTTAAGTAATTTTTAAGGTCATGGAAAGTGATAATGATATTTAAAATAATTGTTGTCAGGTTTAAATAATAACCTGTAAGACATTTATTACAAGAAAAATTTAAATAAACAAATGGGAACAAGGATAGAACAACATCAAGTGCAAGTGATAAGGTTGATAAAAATGTGGGCTAAAAATTTAAGATGCTTAAAATGTGACAGCCCCTTTTGGCATTATTCAAATTTTCATAATTGTCTATATGTAGGTAGCTTTCAGAGGAAGAAATACAAGTAAACAACAACATATTCACAATTATAAAATTATCAGTACTTATAGCTTCTTTAACCCTCTTCCCATGAATGATCAAGACAGAATTTCTCCTTACAATATCAAGTCAAAATTAAGCAGATATGTGACGATAGTAAAGAAAATGAGCAATTGAATGATTATTCGTTGATTCAACACCAGGTTCTTTCAAACTAACATCTTAGGAATTGTATGGCAGACAGTAAGGAGAATAACTAGTGAGATCTTGGAAGTGGAAGGTCTAAGGTCAGCTTATTACACATGCTGAAGTACTTTTAGGGCCAGTTATTTCAGTGAAATCTTAAGTTTTGCTACAGTTTAAGATGTTATAGGAATCTTGAGATTTCTGTATGAGTGGGTTTTTTGAAGTGAACAGATGTTTTTCCTGTGTTAGTCATGGGTCCTAAAGGTGTCCAAGGATATCATCATTAAGATAATATGTTTGGTATTTTGAAGAATATTAAGGAGTTGATTTGCTAAACAGTGACAAAACTTATAAATAACTGGCCCACTAATGTTTTATACATTACTGATAGTGGTATTTGTACCCAATATAATTATATATAATTATGTACAAATGACACAAATACATGACATTCCACCTCTGACTTTGGTGGCTGATTTGATTTGAAAGGATTATCATTTTATTCATTCTATTTATATGTATATCTTTGCAGTTGGGAGATCATGTCCAACAAGTTTTCATAATCCTAACTGTATAGACTTAACTGTGCCTATTTTTCACGAGAAATGTTAAAGTTATTATTTATCTTGGATTGTTGTACAATATGATGAGAATTAGGAATTAAATTAAATTACATTTTTTGAGGTTATGAATGCCATGTATTTATGTAGCTGTCAGACTAGCAAAACCAAATTTGATTATAGTAAATAAAGTCCATTTTAAAGTTGCATGCTTGATTGCCAAGCCTTTTAACATGAGTGAGGCTAAGGGTGACCTTGTTATGATACAAACCTTGCTACTTTTCAAGTTTATATTACTTACTTTGTTATCATGCTAACTAGATACTGGTCTTTATCACAACAAGGTCACCTTCAGCCTCACTCCAAATCAAAGGCCTGGAAACTAATTACATAACTGTAAAATGGCCTATTATTCTTAGCATTTTACATTTTTCAAGGTGACTGTGTATTAATTGGACTAATAATATCAATATTCTAAATAATCTATTTATAATATAAACATTTTAATTGGAGGCTAGGTAATTGCTGACAGCATTTTTCTTGGTGTATGCCAGAAAATTTTGTCACCCTTATTTAAGAGTGGCAAAACTCCCTAGAATACACAAAGCTCGTAGTCATCTCAACAGCTTTGTAATCTTCAAAGTCCACTTTCACTGGTAATGGTATTTCTCTCTGTTTGACTTCAGAGAGCTTTTACCAATGACCATAATTAGTTAAGCAAAATATGTTTCCAGTGAAAGCGTATTTTGAAGGTTGCATTTATGTAGTGTATAAATGACTTTAATGTGGCTGGTGACAATGTGAAAGTTGTTTGATGCTTGGATCATGTGTGACACTACCACTCTGCATAAGTTATCTTGATCATACAGATAGAAATAAACAATGTCCAGAAGAACACAACTAAAAAGTCATTTTTATGAAGAACACTTGTGGGAAATTGTGTGAGTTAGGTGGAGAAGAATGGAAAAACTACTGAAGAAGGCTTATGTGTAGGTAAATTTTCAGAAATTAAAAGAAAGTATGCTTCATTTACAAACAAGATGAAAGAAAAGGTAGAAAATGAGTAGAATGCCCGTAAATAGCCATTTTGCAGTTGTGTGCTTACTTGCTAAGCCTTTGAACAGGAGTGAGGCTAATGGTGACTTTGTTATGATACAAAAATTGAGGCTTTTCAAATGTAAATTTCTTAGTTGTTATGCTATCTCTATCACAACAAGGTCAACTTTGGCCTTATTCCAAATCAAAGGCTTGGCAACTAAGAACACAATTGTAAAATGGCCTATTTGATGCATGAAACAGTTATTTCTGATATCAACTTAGTCAGAGTGGTAGTGTCATATTCCATCAAACATGAACAACATAAAATTGTCAGCAGCCACTTTTAGGTCCTTATTAAGAATTCCACACTTTGCGTTATGTTTCATTTTAAAGAGTCTAGGTCCATTGATGCCTAAAAGGCAATGGACTTTTGTGCTTGTTCTGTGAACACTTAAAAAATTTGAAAGTAAAAACTGAATTTCCAATGTAGAATATTCTTTGCTGTGTAATCAAATAAGGGAAAGACTGAAAGTAGTGGAATTCTGAAAAAGGTGGGTTTACTTCTAACAGATCTGTTGCTTTTCAGCATCATTAGGCTCTGTCTCTTTTTGAGGGGGTTCATGTGGATTAGGCTCAAAGTGAATCAACAATTAACCCCCACTCCTTGTTTCATAAGCAAAACAAAGAAGTTTGGGGAAGAATTCATCCTTTTGATAGATGTCACTTAGCCTTTCACTAGACACCCTGTTTTGTTTATTGCCCTAAATCATGTCAGGGCCTTCTCTGTGAAACTCGTGTACCTGAGGTAGTCTAGTATTGTAAGTCACTATAAAAGTGATCTCCCTCTAAACTAGATTTAAGCAGTGCTTTACTAATTGTTTTCTGGTATCTTTTAAAGATGGGATTACATAAGTTGAACATGAAAAAAGATTTATAAGTTATTTATACAATTATATATATATATAGCAAACAATTGTGATAGAGGGCTCTTCGCCTGAGTGTCGTCAAACCAAAGTTAAAGTAATCACAATGGCCAAGCAGAGTAATAGGAAGCATGGTAAATAGCCAGTGAGAATTTAGAGTAAGACAAAGCAAACTCCCTAAGGGCAAAAAAATGCAAGTCACCAAGTTATTACTGGATTTGGTTTTGCAAATAACCTGTTAAAAAGGGTGCAAGTTTTTTTTACCTATCACAGCAGAGAAAAGGAGCAAAACCAATGCAATCTCGGATTACTTTCAACACTCAATTGAAAATCGCTCCACCTCTAGAGCTAATTTTTTTTGTTTTGTTTTGTTTTTTTTGGGAGGGTTTCCCAATTTCATAGTTCTAAGAAATCCATTTAATGTTGCTAGATTATATCACAGCTAACCTACAAAGTTAATGTAATTATTTAAACTGACATTTTGATACCTTGCATTCATTGTGTAAATAATGCTTGATTATGAGGGCTGCTACTGCAAGTTTTGACTATATGTAATCTGTTTATATGCTAAGCTATATTTTACAAAAAATTCACAATGGCAATTGATACTAAGTGGTAATATTAATAGTCTATGACCTGCTGGTGGACTTCCCAGGGAAAGATGAAGAAAATTGTAGAAAAATCTATTGCATGAAAATGAGCTGGCTTAGACAAAGGATTCCATGAGTGCACCAGGAGCAATAAGGAAATTTTCAAATCTGGGGTCATATTCAGGGCATAAGTTTGCATTGTTTACTGCAACATTGTAACCAGCATGGTTACAATGTTTATTAATTGGACTTTTTGCATAGTGTTTTTTTGTTTAGCAAGTTTTGCATGCATTCATTTGTTACCATAAGTTAAATTGCAAATACATACAGGAAAAAAAGTACATCAAGTATATAACATCCAAGAATTTGGCAACTAGTGAACCTGAAACTGGTTAAGAATGGCATAAATTTTCTTATTGCTCCGGATATCATTCAAGAAATTTTTTTTTCAGCAAGTAGATTCCATCTGGATATTCTTAGTGAATGTGTTAGAGTGAGAACTTGCTAATCAGAGAAAATTAAAATCACTAAAATGCAACTCATGGCAACATTATTGTTTTTTATGATAAACTAGAAATCATGGGGTTGCAGTTCTCTGTTACTGATGACTAATCAGTCCTTTGGAAGATAACTTATTATCTGATTACATTGTCATTCTATACACCTGAATATAAGCTGAAAAAGCTTGAACAAGAGGGTTTGGTTACAGTTTACTCAAATTTAAACAAAGCAAAACTATTGTATTGTGTGCAGTCTTAATCCAATAATTTGAGTTGAGTTTTAATCTGAATCATTAAGTTTACTCACCAGGCACAGAGGCATTTTTTACTCTCCTTGATCAGCTGGCCTTGAAGACTAAGGAAGAAAGAAGAAAAAATTATTACAGAGCAATCTGTTCCATGTGAAATTACTCAGTCCACTCCATCTATTTTATTAAAAAGCAATTACTAATTCCCTTACTTGATACTTAATTTTGTTTTAATTTATTCAATAATTAAAACGTTGATTATTCTCAAAATATTCCTACAAAGGGATTAAAAGTAATATAATTATGTGACCTCTTCCTAGTAGATAGTTTAGAAAACTTTGTAAGGTCATTGTCAGCCCCTCTACAAGGTTTCAAAGGTATTTTGTCTAGTAGTGACAGAATAGCAGAGAAAGCTGAGGTGAATTCATACATATACTTTAATAAACATGGTTATAATTACCCAGATAGGAATTAACATGATGTGAATAGTATGCCCAGTGTTGATTGTCATCTTAATGTGATCCTGACAAACTTCCCCAGGTTCACAAATAGGCATCACGCAAACTTGAGCTACAGAACCAGGAATTCTGTTCTGGCACAAGGACTTTATACGTATCAAAGGTACCTGAGAATGTTTAGGAGAAGTAAGTAAAAAATATAGTTTCAGTGAATTATTGAGGTTTTTCCCAAATGCCCACTCTGTTTTATGGGGTGTTTCTTGAAATCACAGAAACAAGTGTATTAGTCAGCTGTCTACTTTGTTTTGGATGTAGCTGTTGGTCAGTCTTTGGGGGGGGGCAGGGATCTGGAAAAATTTGGGAAACTTAGGTCTCTACACTCTGACCTTGTTAAAGACAAAATATTTGTTTTTGCTATCCTCTTCACACACAAAAAAAAGTGTCAGACACTGTTTCATATCAACCCAAGGAATCAAGTCTTGCATAGTTTTACAGATTATTTTGAATATACCAAAAAAGTGTATATAAAATCCTAGATTAATGATTCATATGTGTTAAGCCAACCAAGGTAACCGCCCCCTTCCCTTGTCAGTAATATTTTATTCACTTACTTCCCTTTTTCTAGTGTTTGCAAGATCCCTAAAATCAAGATACCACCCAACTTAATGAGTGGTCCTTTTTCCTGCTCATAACATTTTCTTATGGAATATTTTACTATAGTTGCTTTACCTCAAAAGTGTCCCCATGCAGTAAGAATTTTCTTTCACATTGTCCCAGCAATTGAAACGTAACTGTAATTTGTTGGTCTACATTGATGGTGTGGAGATGCTTACTCTCTGCTTGGGTAGAATGTTCCTTGCCAAGTGGGACAACCTGAAATCTCATTCCCAGGTGTTGCTCCAACTGTCTTACTGATGAAGTTACCCTCCCCTAAGCAAAGGGGAAAAATCATTGAAGTTGATTTAGTACATGTAGTTCAAATCAAAGAATGAGCATTTCCTGGTAGAATTTGTCAAATATGTAAGGTTATTGAGCTGATGGTTAGTACAATATCTCTCCATTCATCAAATAATTATTGGTTTCAAGTGTTAATAATGACGGGCAGAAAATTCAACAATGCAGTGATGGTATCAACCTGGCAGCATATTTACTGGTAAGGGTTAAGAGGGCTGACCTTATAGGGCAATAATTCAGTGAGCTTCACATTTAAAGAAGTTGGCAGCAAAAATTACTGGCTCTGATGACTGACTCCTTGAGTCCACTGGGATTGCAATGGAGATATTTTTTTTGGCTTTGCCCAATTATACTATGTTAGTGTCTTATTAACAGTTTTCTATACCTGTTCTGAATATTCGATGAAATGTAATGAAAATAACATTTCATTAACATCTATATGATCTTGTTTCAGCACAAAGAACTTCAGAAGGAGAGGTGGACATGGCACTTGGACTGATGGGTGTGAGATGCCTAAAAGAACAATTAAGCGATTACATTATATACAACAGGTACATGACTACATTTGTCAATCATAAGGAAATGGTCTTGACAATTGTAATGTCGCATCTTACAGGTGATAATTGATAGCATCGTTCTCTATTTCGGAACTAAAGTAACTCAATAACAAGTTTATCAACAACGACAATAGAAGCAAAAAGTTTTCATAATTCCTTATTAAGCTCTCACAGCATTGTCACACAATGTCTTAATGTGTTGTGAATTATTGTTGTTTATGTTGTTGTTTTGATATATCAATTAAGCTGGTATAGATTTCTCCTGTTTTGGAGCTTTTCTTTAGATCTTTGTGTGGATCAATCCAAAAAAGTTTGAAAACTTGCATAAAAACTAAGTATAATTTCGGAGGCAAGAGGAGGCTGAAGCATTTCCCTGATTCAACCAACCAACTTAACCCCCTTAAGCATCTGCTATTACCTTCTCAAAGTGGAATTAGGGCTTTGCAGCTGTAGATGTTTGGATGTTAAACTGTACATCGGGGATACTGCTTTTCTTCTATTTTAAAAGAGTGTTAATTCTGCTCGTGTGAATTTATACGATTACTTAGGAAGTTTAAGCTGTGTTTTATTCAGGCTACTGAGTATGATTTAAGTCAAATTTGACTTGTGAAATACAAACAAAAAAACAAGATTTAGAGGGGCATTTTTTTGGCACAAATAGTATAGAGAACTATTAAATAAATTTTATTTTGTAGTTATCTATACAGCTATTATTTCCATCTTAAACTTTACTCTCCACTCTAAGGACGTTTACTCTCAATTGCGAGTTAATCATCAGTAAATGTTTAGACTTATTAGCTTCTGGAGGTGACTACGCCATAAATGCATTAGAGGCTATTATACTTTCACATCTTTATTAGATTAGCCATATAGTAATGCTAGCAAAGTAGGTAGATGATTTGTGTCCATTGTAGTGTATTGAATAGTATTCGGAGTCTTTTAATTTTGTTTAATGGTGTTTTGAATCTCGGAAATGTTACGCAAATAGCATTCTTTATTTCTTCGAGAAAGTAATAAATCAAGTGAATAATGGCTCACAACGCGTGTTGTGTTACTTACTTTCAACGGGAATTTTGATTCCACCTTGTCCCTCCTCACATGGAAGATCTGTGTCTACACTCCAGTTTTCTTGTGTTGAAGCAAAAATTTCATCTTCGAGAGATGCTTCGGGTGGAACAATGACTAGTCCTTGTACCAGAGTTGAAATTAATGCGTCAACATGGCCATTTGCTGATGCGCCCGATTCATCAGCCGCTGAAGTCGTAGCTTCTTTTACAGTTTTGTCGATGAGTTTCCCACAAAGGGGGCAGATGGCTTCATTTATATCAAGTAAAAGGGTTGTTTCTCCAGGGCAGACACAAAATTCTGTTGGACTGAAACTGGATGCGCCTGGTTGTGGAGAATCGCCGATGTCTGGCGTTATTTCATCTTGAACAACTTCGCTCCTATCGTCAAGGTCGTCATCTCTTTCATTCCTTGCTCCATCGTTGCTCTAAGTCAGAGAATAAGCACTTTGAATCACTTTTTCCTCTTTTTTTTTTTGTAATGAAAGTCAGTTTGATTGCATTTATGCTCTCAGTCTTACCACTGCGTGTAAATATATGCCGCATTCTCTGATTTATTCAAGGCAGTGGCTATAACGACAGAACAATCTGGGTCATAGTACAGATAGGAGAATGAACTGGCTTTTATGTTAGAAGGGGTGGATGAGAGGTGTTGAACAAGGGGAGATTAGAGTCAGTTTCCGTGCAGAAGTGTTTCGAAGTGAAAGTGTCCTTCAAATGCTTCATTCCTCCTATTTATGAGTACGCAGTTCAGTGGTTCTTAATTGATCTTAACTGAAAATGAAACTTCATAAACAAAGTTTAACCGATATTAACATCACTGGACCTTTGTTACCTCGCTTTGTCTGTCCTCTGAATCCATTTTCAGCACTTTCGTTTTTTCTTGCTTCAACTAGTCAGTTCCTAGAAAAAGGGGAACTGAAAGCAGGCTTAATTTGTATTATTTATATAAGCCCCCTTTCATTGGCTAAGTGTCGTTTCCTTTCCCTTATTGGCTGAATGAAACAAAGGTCGGGGAAACCCCCTCGAAAACGAAAGGATAGTATAATCAAAATTCTGACTTCCTCAAAGAAGAACAAATTTTCAGTGGTTCAACTCCTTCCATCTTATAAGGGAGACCTAGCAATCAGTCGAAACATATTCATCCAGTGGCGTTTAAACAAATATCCACTTTTGTAGGTTTTGGTCGATATATTTGTTACTGGTAGAGGGTCAACAGCGTCTCTTCTAATCAACTGATTTTCTGCATTTGTAAAATCAAGGTAGCCGTTGAGGTCAAAGAAATGGAAATTTGTCAACTTAGGCACTATGTTTTCTTCTGCGTCTTGGTAAGGTTATTGTCTTGTATCATTTCATGTCTTGCAACGGTGAGATGTTCAGCGGAAGTGAAAACCTCTTGATCTAAACAGACAGTTAAGATGGGTTAGTTATGTATTGTTTATCGTGCTTATTTTAGGTGTGAGGGGCCCAAAAGAAAAAGAAGTTGCCTTGAATGGCAAGAGGACGTCAAATTTGATCGGTACCAATTCGGTTAAGACTGAGGCTGAAGTTTTCAAGATGCACTAGCCATGTGTACTTTTAGTGCGGGCGAGTTAACGTTACATATATCGTCTATCCGGATGAGCACTCACTCGCCAAAATTACACCTGCACTGGAGGCTATGAACTTTTCATGACCGTATTCTTTGGTGTGTTTCACTGATGTAATAGCCTGCAGATCAGGCGTAATTTTGGCGAGAGAGTGCTCAGTAATTTCTTAACGAAAATTATGGCCGCCATCTTTGATGGCAGCGGAAGGCTGGGGAGAGAAATAAATTTGTACTAAGGGGGCGGTCGACGGTCAAAAATACGGAGAGGGGTGGGGGTGGGGGAGTGAAACTCTAACTCCAAGTCAAACACAACCGGTCGGATAAACGATCGCGAGCTTACAACATTAGCTCACACTAGTGAGACGCCTGCTCTGCAGGCTACGGATGCAATAGTTACTCATGTTGTTAACATGCTTCCAAGCGAAAAGAAACTGCAATGCGAATATCAAAAAACAAAAAAGTTACATCAAATGAAATTTAAGCTTAGAGAAACCTTTGTTTGATCCAATTTGTGTTCCTCAATAGGTCAATCAAGCCAATGCAGCTCAGGTTTGCAGAGAAGACCAACATGCAGTAGAACTACCAGATGGTAATATCGCTTGTACAGATTGCATCAAATGCCCCCCAGGATCTGAGGTTACAATCCCTTGCGGAACTAGGAGGACCATCGGCACCCAAGTTGAGTGTGAGGAGTGTGCCTCGGACTACTACTCTGATTCCTACTCGTCTGAGAGTTGTAAACCCTGTTCAACCTGTAGTCCAGATGAAGTAACTATAAAGCGATGCACTAAAATCTCAAACACTCAATGTAGTTGCAAGCCATGCCCAGATGGGTATTACCAGAACCAAACTTTGTCCAAATGTCTCCCTTGCTCAGGATGTTGTTTGGGTGATTTGGACGTAGTTGTCCCACAATGTCTCATGCAAGGGATGCCTCGAACACAATCGTGCAGCTACCACAAGAGAAAACCCTGTTTAGCAAAGTGTTGGTATGATGAGATCACAATTGTAAAGCATGATGGCAAACAGATCTGTTTACCCTGTCCTGTTTGTTCAGACGAATTTGGCCTCACCAAACCATGTGGAAGTGTTGTAACTGATGGTGCGATACCTAAGTGTGAACTTCCGATCTTAGGAGAAACCTTCGTCGATCAGCAGGGTGTTCTACAGTCTTGCAAAATTTGTTCGATTGGTCAGAAGGTTTTAGCCAACTGTTCCACCAAATCAAATACCATTTGTGGTGAGTGCATGCCAGGGTTTTATCTGAACGACCACTCAAAAGCTTGTGAACAGTGCTTCTGGTGTTGTGGTTTTAGCGACAGTCAAAGTATCGTGAACTGTATAAAGGAAGGAATGGCGTCTTCAGAGAACTCTCAGGGGCTCGCTATTAAGCCTCGTATTCCATCTTTGGGCTTAAATGAACAGTTTGGGCAGCTGCAAACTGTAGAACAAGAAAACTATAAAGTGAACTCAATCGAACTTGACAAGGTGACAACATTGATTGTATTGAGCATATGTTTCTTTCTGATTTGGGTTGCCATTTCAGTACCATTATCGGAGGGCAACTATCAGTATCCATTTCCAAATGAAGAAAACAATTGTGAGCTAATGGAAAAGAAGGACTGTGCTGAAATTAGAAAAACTTCTTCACTTGCAGGTAAGTTAAGCATTCATTTATTATCTCTAATTGGTATTCATTGCTTTATGTTTTCAGTGCCTATAGGCTTAAAACTCTTGTGTATAGAGTACTACACCTAGCGTTTTAAACAAAAACAGAGTACCTCACTTCTTTTCACTTTTTGTTTGTTTATTTGTTTTTGTTTTCTATTTTTTATTTGTTTTGTAGAAAGGACTAGAAAATGGAGTCTTCCCATACTGTTTTTCTGAAAAAGCTACCTTGTGTTTACGATATACAAATTTTATGCGTATTTTTGCATATGCATATTTTATTTCGTAGGTAGTAAGGAGGCAGAGTTGGAGTGTCCAAAACAACATAGCCCAGGTCATATGGTATTTGAAAAGACAGGAGTTGAGGTTGTTTCTCTTGATAACAACAGGTCTACTCTTCAACACTTGCCACGTGATTTGGTACTGCATGCCACACCAGAAGGGCTGGATTTACCTGGATTTCTTGAGGATGATGAATTTCCACTAAGTCCAGCATTTATTTTTATTTCAAAGAACCAGTTGCTGGAACCCCTTGAGCTTCAGATACCTCATGGTGCAAACATGGTGCTTTCTCCAAATAAGTGGAAAATCATTTTGAAGGAGTTGAAAAATGATGAATGGGTAGTAAGTTATGTGAAGGGTAGTAAGTCATGTGGAATAAAAGAATTCCTCCCCAAAAACAACCATGTTAGCTTTAAAACACATTATTTTGCAACATTTGCAGTGGTTGGACACTGTGAAGAGCAATCTTTACCAGTATTCAAGAGAATGAAGGTCATGGCATTTTGTAATGACACCAGAGTTGGAGAAGACCTTGTTGTGAGATTGTACTGCTTTGATGACTGCGAGTGGTCATTTGAGGTAAGCTTTTGAGGATAAAAAACAGATTTTCTCCTTAGATAGGACTGAATTGACAATAGTAAGGGCATTGAATTTCTCCCTGCGTTTCAGCATCGAAGAGACCAAAAGATCTCTTTCATATATAAATTTTTTTTCAATTGTTCAGTAAGAGGACAGGTGTTTCAAACCTTGTGACATCTTACCCAGCTGTGGCAATCTGTTTTTGTACATAATTGAAGTCTTAACTAGGATTCTTAAGGTATTTACAAGTATATGTAATTTGATTTTTAAATTGTGCCAGTCTAGTTCATAAAGAATCCCAACTTCCAATCATGGTTACTTATGTTATATAATTTTGTTAGATCTATTTCTGTAAGTAATGAATTTTAACAAAATTGTGTGACCTTTGCTCCACAGAATGTTATGAGGGAGGAGAAAAAGGAAGGAGGAAAGCCCATGTCATCAGTTGAATCTCTTGATTTTTCTGTAATTCATGAAGAGGATGTAGAAATTGGTGTGAAGGATATTGATGGCTGGAAGCTAAAGAGTGGTCACCAAATGGTATTTTGCAGTCATTGTTTGAGTGTCGTGCAACAACAGAGCAAGATTCTGAGAAAAATGGAAACTTTCAAGCTTCACTGAAGATCTTAAAATTGTGAACTTGATAATTAACTTTCTTTTCAGATCCCTAAAAGTTTTGCTATCTCTTGATGATTTTGAAGACATTTGCATTTTGTTCTCTTTTTTTTTTAGAAAATCAGCTATGCATCACTGAAGAACTCTTTCAGTACAACTCCGAGATGCAATCTGGTATTTAGCTCAGCATCTAAAAAGAAAAGCAGCTTCTTTGCTACTATTATTTTGACTCAGGCATCCAATCAAACTTTGATGTATGCAAGCACTGCTATTAAGGAGGTACATTTTACGTAGCACATTTTATAGCACAAAATATAAATTTATTTTAAATTTCACTGAATTAATCTGCAGGAGACACAATGGCCTCTGTTGTAGTCTATTTTAATGAGGATTTGATCACCTATAGTTAGTCTTCTTCTTGCTTGGGGTCATATTTGTGTTTAGAACCAGAAACTAATAATTTGAAGATATGAATGGGTCAATGAAAGTTGTGAAATTTAATCCACAACACCAATGAGAGTTTACCAGCAGTACAGTTACTGCCAACACAGGGTTTTTCTGATTTTTTTGGATTGAGAGATATGACAACTGAAAGAGTTCTAATTTTCCATTTGTTTCATTGTAGGATCCAAGCTGGTGTATGAATCAGAGCTCGATTGCAAATGCCATGAATGGTGAGTTGTTTACACTTACTGAGAGGTGTTAGGTTTTAGTAGCCTTCAAATGGATGAAGGTCAGTATAGCTGGATTGAGTCGTAAAGTTGTCAGTTATTATTCTTTTGAAGTAAAAAACTACTTGAAAATGCAAGGAACTTTGTTCCTGTAGGGGAACTGATGTTTTCTTCCCAGTAATCACAACTATTACTTTCTTCCTTCATAAGGAAACCAAGTCACAAGTATCGCAGATATCACTGTTGTAAAGAGTGGAAAGGGAAAAGAGAAAGAAATTTCTGACTGCATCATTCAGTTGCCAGCTTTATACTCAACCTGAACTCAACCTGAACTCAACCTGAACTCAACCTGAACTCAACCTGAACTCAACCTGAACTCAACCTGAACTCAACCTGAACTCAACCTGAACTCAACCTGATAATCATCAGAGATGAGGTTCCATTGAGTGAACTTCAGCGTCCATAGACTAGAGGCATTATACTGTGTATATTTCCTTTTGTTTTAATTTAATCGATTGAGTCAGACAAAAAACTAAGATAGAGATCGAATCTCGCTGACATATTTCACAAAAATTTTCAAAAAGGTAAGTAAAAAGTTCACAGATAATTTGGTACGTTAAGGGATCTTAACATCTGAAATTCTCTCACCCCTAGATGAAACTCTTTGCCAGGTATTTTAATTCATATTACTTCGTTAGTAGTAGTTTATCTTAAAAAGTGTTCAGGATAAGGCGTTTGAAGTCCTGAATAGAGGATATCAGAGGTTGTACATCTTAAGCTAATAAAGTTTAAGCAATGTGTACAAAGCAGGAGTTCTTGCTTGGTTATTAATGTGTATAACGACAGAGTGTTGTTTCCTGTGAAAAACTAGTTGTAATGAAACATTGTGTCGAGTAGTGAACAACCAATTTTTAAAATGTATTCAATCACACATTAAGTCATTTACTCTCTGTCTTTCTGTGTAACTGTAGACGTTTCAACACTAAACGTTTGGCAGCTTCTTGATTTTCTCGTGATTGCTGCAAGATACGTATGAAAATGTCTAAAATATTCCCTTTTCTGGGTATCATCATTAGCAAGTGATCGATGCCATCTGATGGACGTGGAAAACTTCGCAGAAATGCCTTATCATCGGCCGTCAAGATATTGTATTGATAAAGATAGGCACATAACGATGTAAAGTCCCCAATATTGGCAATAAGATCTACGTGACAGCTTTGAAGGGCGTCTCGGTCCAGTTTTGGCATACCCGTAACTTTGAAATGGGAAATGAAAAGGATCAGTGAACAATTTCTTTTAAATAAACACAACTATCCTGCCATCTATTTTTCTTTCTTTCTGTCTATCTCTATAGCTATCTATCTATCTCTCTATCTCTCTTTCTCTCTCTCTCTCTCTCTCTCTCTCTATCTATCTATCTATCTATCTATCTATCTAACTATCTATCTATCTATTTATCTATCTACCTACCTACCCTACCCATCTATCTATCTATCTATATATATATATATATATATATATATATATCTGTTCGACTGTCTATCTATCTATGTATCTATCTATCTATAGTATCTATCTATCTACCTTGATATTCCCACATAACAATTGAGCTATTCTGTTCCCTGACCTGAGTGCTTGATATTTGGCAAGTCAAAACACCAGAACCTTACTTGACTTGTAATTAAGACCTAGGTAAAGCTCCATAGGGTAATCTTGTATCACAAAAATTCCAACTGGACTTGTGAATTAAATTTTAAGTTTTGTACCTGAATAGTTTTGATTCTCAAGGCCATCGGTTGGCGTATGATGAACCTAAGAATACAGAAAGTTACCTTTATTGATTAGTGCTTTCTGGGTTTTACACGCGATTGTGGGAGGTTAAAATCATATGATTGTTAACCAGGAAGTACCTCTCGTGGATTGTCATAATCCAACTACTAGCAGCAGTTAGCACTTCAACGTGTTGTAGGAAGAGAAGCTCTCTCTAAGATTCTAAAAAACGTTTTGCCGACTGAAAATCATTGGGTTCTTTATGTTGGTTTCTTTTGTTATTTACAACTTGAAACAACTGACTATCTTAAGAGGTAACGCCTCCAGTCGCAAGACTGCTGTCAGTAGGGAACTCTGAAAACACTAATTAGAAGATCATGAATAAAAGCAATTAATTGATTAATTGATAACCAGTTGTTAATAGCAATTAAATAAAATATTGTTATGTAAAGCCAAATTGGAATGGTAAGTGCACTCGCAATTTTTAATAATGAGGTTGAGAATGAAGAGAGGAAATTATATGAATGTTTTCAGTACTGAGGAAGAAAAAAATTTTCATTTTTTTTTTTGGGAGATTCAATCAATACGAACACAGAAGTTTTATTATTAAGACATCACTAGTACTAAAGCCATACCTTGGTAGGAATGAGAATGACCAGTCTCGCTTTTCCACTAAGCAGTGCCATCCTGACTTTGTCTTCACGAAGAGTGTTTTGCTCTCCAACATATGTGGTGACCAGCTTGACACAAGCGCCAGGAAATAACCTCTCCTCACTTTTTGCAAGTAGATGTTGGACGCCAATGGTGGTTGACTATTAAAAAAGAATCGATTCACAGATTTTTCAGCCAAACTTGCACTTACGGATTGCAGAATGCAAACAGGGTGCCCAGCTGACCTATTTTCAGAAGAGTTGTAAACCGTAGGTTCTATGGTAGAGTCAAACCCAACACTGAGCAGGTTAATTACAGTGGGTAAGCCACTATTAAATGTATTGTGGTTGTCAACCCCTGGCCCTGGATAAACCTGCATCTCTCTATGCGGAGTTAAGCACTTACTGCTAACTAGAGTATTCAAACAAATTTATGCTAGAAAGTAAATTAGAATGCAATATTATAACTCAGACCGAAAATTTTTTTAGGAGAAAAAGTGTTACCTACCGCAGGACTGACCAAGGCAAAACATTCGCCACAATCCATTTCAGAGATGATTTTTACCTCACTTTGGATTGCCATTTGAGGATGATAGGCGAACAAGGATCCTTTCTCATCTATCACAGCGATCTCAGTTCCTTCATAAGCAGCTGCTTCATTTTGAGCGATTTTGTCGTACACCTGAGAAATCGAAAGACGTGTTGTCATATATGAAATGCATTAACCACCAAAAGGTTGGTGTCAATTTATGTTTTCGTTATCAAATTTTTTTTCAAGTTCTCAACCCAATATTTAATTGTGATCTGATAACTCTTGTGAGGTTCTATTGACCAGTATTATTAATTTTCCATTTATGTAATTAAGTGTACTCTATTGTAGGCGTCGTGGTGTCGAGAAGCAACTGTGCGAGTTTGGATTTAGTAAGCAATGTACCTCACGTTACTCCTTTAACTCTCAGAAGTGATTAACATGTAACTTTTCCACGTAATATCCGTACATCATCCAGCAAAAAGGTTACGAGAATACTCAAACGTATGATGTGGAAGTTGTTGTCTTGAATTAACACCAAATTATCCGAACTAATTCGAAAGGAAATGTATAGCAGCTCTAAGGGAGACATGACAATCAGATCTTGGGGGTTAAAAGGGTTACCTTTTTCGTTTAGGTTTTGAGGAGACCTTGAATTTTTTCTAACTAGACGCTCGGTATCTTACCAAATCGAATTTTTCCCTCGGAATAACATAGACGACATGGCTTCGATTTTTTCCAGAGAGAACTCCTCGCTTGAATATTGCTATGAAGCACGACAGACATTCATGGTTCGACTTCAACTCCCCTAAAAT